GCACTAATGTTGCCTTAATTTGTCGAAAACGTTAATCAGGTTCAACAATTTTGTATTCGTGCAGAAAACGCAATTTAACAAACAAATAAATAATTTTTTGCTGACCGTCTTCGACAGAAAAATCAAGATTAACAACACCAGCAGCCAAGAGCTTCGAGTTCTTCTAAAGGCCAGCATCAGCGTAGTTTACAAATCCTAATAAAAATACAAAAACCCAGCCTGACAAAGAATGCAAAATCAAACTTCAAAGCGAACCAGGAACAATCAATGCGAACATAATTTGGGAATACAAACGGCACACAAAATCGCCATAAACCTCCATTCAACTCGGCCATCAAAAAAGTATTAAAAGTTCCGTATTGAATTTTCAATCCCCAAAGGTGATAGCAAAGATAATAAACGCCCCCCCACCCATACTGCGCCACTAAATTCCTCTTAATAAACACGGAAAGGCTTTAAAATCTCAATTTAAAAAGGCTTTTAACCATTTCCCTTTGTTTCGCTACCGCTATTTGCGTAAGTTTGTCGGCAATATTCCCCGGCAAAGTTTACCAAAACAGGAATAAAACAATTGCCCGCTTAGTTTCCTTCGGTGTATACGTATTTTTTTCCTGTGGCAAAATTTCCCAAGAAAATGCGACCGAAACACACAAAGTTTTCGCGGCTCAGGATCCACTAATAATTTTTAAAGCAGCCCCAATCGGTCCCGTTTAGACGGAGATTAATTTTGAATTAATATCCGGGTATTTTGCTAACCGGCAACCGAAAGGGCTCTTAGCTCTTGCACGGGAACCGTTTCGTACTCAGAACGTAATTGTATCTCATTTGGATGAGCGCGACTAAGGGGATTAAGACACATCTGAGCGCCGGTCCTTGCGGGAATATAACAATCCATTATGTAATTGAGAATTAATTAACTTAATCTAATTATGAGCATATGATTGACGTAACACGAGCGAGATATTAATTAGATCATATAACAGGGCTGAGGGCGAAGCCGCTACAGTGCAACGTTTATGATTGCCCTTTATTGTCTTAATCCGCCCTGCATGCGACATCTGTCCGGATTAAGGGTGCGATAACGCATGATTTGTGTGTTCGAATGGCGAATTGTTTAAACAGAAGACTTACTTGCATGGGGAAATTAGGCGCCAGTCTTTGGACGACTTGGACCGGTTTGCACAAATCTGGAAAAAAAATATTAATTTTATAATTTATTACTGTAAGTCAACTGGATTTCGAGATTCGACCAACTTAGACAAAACATTTGCAAATCATTGATCTTCCCGAATTTTCCCCGATTCCACAATCTCTTACCAATGGAAAGATCCAACAGAGGAAACCCATTTGATTAGATAATATTAAAGGCAACTCTATTATAGTAATCGCATAAATCTATGAACTGCGCACGTTTAAGCTGAAAGCTTCGCAATTATTTACTGTGCAAATTTCCGCATTTAATCTGATTAGTTAATTAGTGAAACAATTGTACATTTAAACGTAAAAACCATTGTTCCAGTTAATTTTATAAAGCCAATCAATCGAACTGTTATGTAACTAGTACTGTATTGCCAGGCCTTGACTGATGCCTGATCGCAAAAATTCCATTATTTTTATAATTAATTTCAAT